AAAAATGAAAAATACTTCATTGAATATTTGATAAGTTTAGAAGGCTAAAAATAAAGTTATCGAATGCCAACGTACTACATTCACCTCTTTCGTGTCAGTAGTGATGCATCCAGCTGTTTTGTCGCACTCTCTTTATTGCTCCTATTGAGACGCAGGTACGAAATGGAAATGGAATGCGGTTAACGCGCAACTCATAGTGGAATCAGTTCAGTTTTTAATGATCCATATGAGTAAACATAACTATTGCCTCGGTATCAATTTATGACTAAAAATTCAAAAACCAATAGGCGACACTTCACAGTGCATACGTTTACCGAGTCGAGTGACCGCAAGGTCGCCTTTCATGGGCGAAGAGAGTCCGACTGTGCATATGTCGCATTCAAATATCCACTAGTTTGGGGCGTTTCAGTGGTTGCACTCCTTCAAAAAATGCCTTGCCTTTTCGTGCTTTCTTCACTTCCGTGGAGCACTAGTGTTAGTTGAAAATCGTAGTCACAATGAATTATGTGCATGTTACCTGTATTGCTCCAAGACTTTGTAATAGGCAGTGAAAGGTATAAGGGTTCTTTGAATATTTGTTTTCAGCGCACCTAGCAGAAAAATTACATTCTGCAAAGTGGCCGTAACTCAAAAAGACAGTCGAACCAACAAAGTAGTGCATTTTCTCTCACCATAACCCCTCAGGACCAGCTTTCACTGAGACTTTGTGTTTTTGCCTTAGTGAGTTGATAAAACCTATTACAGTATCGAGGAAGGAAATAAAGTACATTCAGAAGTTCTTTTATGCATAGGTTTTCGCAGCAATCATCAAGCGAATGTTGCTACTAAATTGGTTCAATTTTAGTAATACATAATTAAAAGTTAAAGTTTTGCTCATTAATGCCTTGATGTGTTATATCAGTTGTTCATAAGGGCTGATGGAAAATCTGCGAATGGAAGTGTTGAAATCTTCATTATGCACTTTTACATTTTACACTTTTACATTGCATTTACATTTTGCTCGTTTAAAACATTAGTTTCAAAGTCGGTCGCAACGCTACGATTCTCGCAGTATTTTGTGTAAACCTTAGGAGGCTGTTGTCCCAAAAAATGGCTAGTAATTCTGCATCTAGACTTCGCTGGAAATTAGAGAAGACATGACTTGGATAAATGCCTACTGAATCGACTCAGCACTACTTGGAGGTACGTACATGGCTCGTCTTCTCAGCCCAAGTGGTGAGGGTGCAAGGGAAGAGATCCAAATTGCCTCCACTACCGAAATCGAGAGTTAAACGACCGGAGAATCACATTGACCCTGTCTTCTGTGGGCCGCGTCCCCCCAGACTGCTCCCGGTCAATCTCTCGCGTCAGCCTGCAAACACAACCAGCACTGTGAGGAAACACCAGTGAGCCAACCGACCGCACCACCCACAAAATATCCATGGCATTGAGGAAGCATTTGAGCACAACGTTACTAATCACTTTTGGTCACCGAACCGAACTGGGAGTTTTGTGCCACGCAATAATCGCGTTTGGTACGGGGAACTGTGGGGACCATCACAGATGTCCATGGCAAGCAACACTGGTCCAAAAGCAGACGCATAACAACGGAATGAGGTAAACACAGTCTTGTCGGGGTAGGATTTTGCGGCCATCTCTCCTAACACTTTGTTTTTACTTCGATCCCGCCCGTCATGCCTGTAGAGAAGTGGGGAAGGCATCGCATCTTTCCACATGTGATATCTTTCTACACTGATGACCAATAGACTCTTAGCGGATCTTTTCTAAATGGTTCAGGGTTGGTGTTTCTACAGACATTGATGACTTTTGTGGATCACGGGAGTAGGATAGCTTTAGGAAGACTGGCGCAACCGTCTTTCCTTCCTACAGCTTATGGATTACTCTGTTCCTCAAAGGTCTGTGATAAACATGAAGAAAATGGGTTTTGTTACCCATAAAGACGAGGTTTCCTTTCGTCTGCTATCAACGTAGATCTTTGAGAATAACTCGAAGCCGAAAAGAGATTCCGCTTAGTCGGAATATATGCATTCGACAAACAGAAGGGTTTGGAGTTAGTGATATGACCCAGAAGCCAATCCACCTGGTGATTCCACATCCACGAGGACCAAATCTGCTCCATTTGCTGTAACTGTAAGTTGAGCAACCAATGTATATCATAGTGCAGAACTCTACTGAACTCACTAGAGCCTTCCTTAAACTATAAATCAAGTGTTTTAATTTTCTTAGCTCGCCCTCATAACAAAGAGATTGGCCCACCTTCACAATCAATCGAAGGACTTGGAAGCTCTAGTATAGAGTAGAGAGATAATAAAAGCTCATTAGATCACAATGTGAATCACTTGAGTAATTCTGATATTCTCACTGTACCTACATCTTCACATTCGCTTTTAAAGGATTCGGATAACAGGCCAAAAGCTAGGCAAACCTTTAATGCACGACAGTTTGTGGCTATGCCTGGATCAACTTAAAAAATAGTTCACATTCTCGAACTTACCACATACATAATGATTCGAAGCTTTTGTTTGACGATTTGTGGACTTCATCTGATAGAAACGTGGACACAAATCCCCATTCTTTCCACCGTCAATGTTTCTACAGTCTCACTCTTGATAATGAGCTCTCACAACAATGCATATGGAGGAGTGGATCACATTTCACCAAACCGCGCAGAATTGAAGAAAATGTCGAATTACTTACTTGAGTCATTGTAGAACCTAAAAATGCAAGCCTATTCGACAATTCCAGCATAAGGCGTGCGTATTTATTACTTGTTCAAGTCTACCCTTTTCTGGAATAAGTCATTGATTCCACCAACTGGATTAAAACTTAAATGAAAAAAAAAAATTGAGTACGCAAGCATTGCACGAGCTGCTTGATTTTAATGGGATGTGCAAAGATGAAAGAATGCGTTTTATGTATACCTTAATGGTTTATACGTTGGTAGGTCTAACGCTTTTAATACAGACCAACAATGAAGAAGAATGCCGAGTTCAGTGACAGTCTGCGATTTTCTTAGGTGCTGTATGAACAATAACAGTGCCTTTGTGCACAAAGCTGCAAATTTGCGTCGTGGCGCACCCGAGACGAGGGGCGAAAATTAAGGTCACGCAAACAGCGCCATCCACAGATTCAGTCTACTTTAGTAAAACATCCAGAATCATGCCAAAAGGATTTTCCACTATGATTACAGTTTTAACCAGTGGCTCGGATAAATAGCGATTGAACTTCAATTTGATGGAACCCTTGCAACGGGGTGCCCTAAATGGCACACACTCATGTAACATCTTCCTGACGCTAAGTGAACAACATCATCTGCATCAAAATAAAACAGGAATCAAATTCGAGAAGCACACAATTCATTCACTTACAAAAGTGAGTAGGTATTTTCATTTGCTGATCGAGTCACTCCACATGGTAGGTCCATTACCTCAATTTTACAATGCCAGTTTTGCATATTCTGCAAGAAGCTCCCTTCCCTTCCATTGCATCCATTTCTAAGGTCCTCTAATGTATACATTCATGGCGGTGCAAAACTCCGAAAAACTACAATTTGCTATCGATGTCAACGAGCGCACGGTGTCCTAAGGTGACAAACAAATACACAAATTGCTGTTAGACCCCACACTCATAGTTTCAGCAACTGAAGTCGTTTAAGTTTTGACATTTTGTGGATCATTGACATTAATCCGCGCACGTTGAACACTTCAACGTTTCGGCTGCGAAGCTTCTAACCACAAAAAAACTGACGGCAAAAAGAGAGGAGTTTGCCCGTCCTAATGCCGTCAAAGAAGGGAGACCTAAAATCCCACCTTGAACTACTTGGAGCAATTTAAATCGGATGAATTTTGTTTTTTGCCGCAGTATACCATGCACCAGCCATACGAAATTTTCGTAAGTCGGCAAAACAACCAAAGTAGCGTCGTTAAGGATTTATGTGAGACCCACTTTCAGTTCAAAATTTTAGGAATTCGTTCGAATATCGACTCACACTTGTTTGCGCAAAATTTAGCAGCTTTGGATCCGTGGTAAAGTTTAGATTAAATCGCCCCACCAGTCTCCAAATAATAATGTTTAGCTGGACGATTTGAGCCTTCTGTGTCATTCCATGCTATGGAACAGTGGTTAATCGCGTAACCTTTCCTCTCACCCGCCCCTTCCCTGTCGACCTACACCAATTCTAACAGCTCTATCAGCTTAGTTTTGATGCTCATAGTGAACAAAGGATGCCAAATGCCTCAAAGACAGTGACCCCAAGTCCAATGTGCAAAATTACCGAAATGCGCTTAATTCAAAGAATTGCTAATAAGCTTCCAACTGCGCCATCATTCAGGTGGACTCTAAAATCGGCAATAAACTGTTCGCAACTGAGCTTATTCATTGTACAATCTGATAATGGCACAAAAAACACTGCTAAAAGATTTATCAAACGCGTACAAGCGTTTTAGAAGGATAAAACTTTCTATAATAATCGAAAAAAGAAATAACTCAACTTCCCCTGTGGTGAAATGCGTCCACTTACAACTAAGGAAAGCATTTGTCGCCAGAAATATGAACTTAAACCAAGTGAGATGATTTCTCAATTGCGTCTCCCTCTACAGGCGGCAGATCAAAATGAGCTTCCTTTAACCTAAGCATGACACTGATATGCATTCGTTGCACCGCCTACAACTGCAGAATTGAGCACGATCAATCGACCAAGCAACTCGTGCCCAGAGGAAAACGCGTCGCTAAGAGCAACCCTAGTTAACTGTCCACCGAACGGCGCCAAACCAAATTTCCTGTGAAATTTATTTGGCATATAGAGAAAACTTAGAAGCAATGACGTTGAGACAGCGTAAACCAAGGTAATTTGATTCGTGAGAAGCGAACAAAGATCCCTCGACTAAGAGTATCGCTTGTTGAAACAATGAGAAGCTGACCAAAAGTTCTTTATCTGACTCAAGAGTCCGGAAACCACTTAATGAAGTGAAATGCAACGGAAGGAGAGAAAGAAAGGGGGATTAAGCAATATCGTCTTCACTGGCTAACTCGGAGCTCTCTTCGTAGTGAAAGACGGCGTCGGAGTTGTTGACACCTTCGACAGTGTACGGTGCGATGGCGGATGAGGAGATGGTGGAATGACCGCCGTGAGGTGGTGGCGACGAGGACTGGAAGATGGAAGATGTGGCCATCAATTTTTCAATATACTGCCCCAATATCTGATTCTCAGTACGTAAGTTAACATTTTCCTCTTTTACGGCATCCACGCGTTTTGACAAATCCACTAAGGTGTGTTGCAGCTCTAAGACCTAAAAGGTGGAAGTTGAAATTTTAGTTGATGAATTTGCATCAGGGAGATTTGTTAATCAATCAAATAAATTATTTCGAAATTACTTCATTTTAAAACAACGGATAAGATTGAAATCTTGTAGGCCAAGATCGCCGATTGGAAAACGTCACATACTGATGAGCCTTCAACAAATTCAACGCGACCGTGAATGCGACATGCTTATGATGACCGGAATCGGCTTAGTAAATGAGCAACAAAAAGATGGAAATTCGACAAGACTATTGGACTCCCCGTTATGTGATGGCGTGTCGGACTGCACGGCATTCAACTATTCATTAAAAAACGAGCGTTAACCACCCTCGTCATGCCTCATATAAGTTGGCCAAGAATACATCTCAAAAATAGTGCGTAAAATAAGGTAGCATGAGGGTTATTAGTTCGTGCGCATCACGCCGTCATCTAATAGATTAGCAGTTAAGAGTGTGGTGTCACCGAAAAATACTCGCAAAAGTGCTTCCGTCAGAGACAGACAAACACTGACGGTTATTACATTGCCTGGGTGATTAAAGTATGAACCCTTTCATTCCTGCTTTCACATGAATGCTGGTCTTCGGTCGAAATTTTTACTCAATACATTGTGATACATTTTTTGTTCATTTCTTTTCCGTAGTCTGGCACTGAAATAGCCTCAAAACAGAGGTTAGAGACCTTGCCTCAACCAGATCCTTTTTGACTTGAATGTATGCTTAGCATTCTCAGGGTCACAATTTTCACCCGCAAGTGAAGGAAACATCTACAGCTTGCTAAAAACAATTCCGTCAGGTAAGCTACACAGGAACGAGCCAGACCAGTCACAAACTAAACGCGGAACACAACGCGTAAATATGATGTACTCTGATGTATTATCATCATTTATGTCCGCCAAATTCTTCATGACACTTTGGCTTTAATTAGTAATTGAAATTCGGTGAGGTCAAATAGTAAAGATATAAGGGTCTCAAATAGTGAGGCAGTAGTCTATTAACAGTAACCGCTGTTATATTACCAGTAGACCACGGAAAAGACCATAATGTTCGAGTTAAAAGTAAATTAACATTTCGAAAGACTATATTAGTGTGCACGAAAACTAACAAAAGTTCAGTCTAAAAGGATGCAAGCGAACGAAGCTCAGGGCTAATAAACACATTAAATTCCTGTTACTTGCGCCCTATTAAACAGTCGAAGGGGATCGCAACCGATGGACGGAAGAGAAGGTGGTGTAGGGAAAGATGGCAAGTCACGCGAAGTTAAGTTGTAAAGCGGAAGATTTGTTTGGTCATCCATTGAATGAATGTGCAAAGATAATGCGACCTTTTACGACTTCCACGACCCAACAATTCCCCTGACAGTCATCAATTTTAAGTTGAGCATTCCAGCGCATAAATACGAACTCCTTCTAACGCCAAAACATTAACGGATGCAGTTTCTTTATAGGTGCCAAATTCCTTGTGAAGAACATATCACATGAGTTCTGTACGACGTTAGCGCACCAGACGATAAAAACTATAAATGCTGACTGCCTTGATACAAAGACTCGACCTAAAACGCAGTGGCCGAAATCACTAACCATTTTACACATAAAAATGAAGTTCAGTACGTTTGCAATATCTCACGGACAGTCAGTCAAAGAACTTGTGCCCCCAGGAAATCAACCAATTTAGCGCATTAAGTGCTCCAAAAAAATGCTAATTTATTTTATTTTGCAAGTTATACAATGAATCAAGACTCACAGCATCAATTGCTACGCCTTGCAATACTGTTAATAACGCGAAAAAAGCCGAAATGCTTATTGCTGTAACTGTTTACAAAAATCGGATAGAAGCAGTTAAAGGCGCTAAACCAGTAAATATCTAATAAACAGCAACCATCAGACAATCAGCCTTGGTTACAAAAGTAATCGGCTTTGTTCTATTGCTTGGTTCTATGTTCCAACCCAAGTGTACCTTGGGGTCGAGAGACAACAACAGTCTCCTGCGCACACGAAAACGTTTGTCCGATCCAAAGCCCATCGTAACAAATCTTATCGGGCGCTTAATCTATGCATTTCAATGAATAGAGTTCCTGGTCGAACTGCTTCCCAAGAATAATGTCTCGCGAGCCCAAAGACTTATTGCTTAAGGCTCCTTGGTAAGCGTTACAGCACAAGCATTCGCTTTAGTTAATTCTTGAGCAAGGCATGCAGCTGGAAGGTGTCTAAGCGAAAATTCGAGAGTTGTGAGAATATTTAAAAAAGACCCCGATCAGAAAAAAATATATAGTGATGATAAGGTCTTCGGATTCGAAATCAGTTCCTGATTGTCAAAAAATGTTGAAGAATTAGAGCTAACAACACTGTGGACAAATTCGAAAGAACACTATACAAAAATGAGATAGTATCAAACTTCAGTAGTCCTAAGTAGGCCAAATTGTCAGCAAATTTGCCTGTTGTGCCGTGAGGGATTGCGCTGAGCAGAGGCAGGTTACCAGCAAAGGTTTCACAAGCATTGAGTAATTATTAAAA